TAAAAACATTTCGAATTAATTAAGCCTGTGTCATAAGGATTAAGTCATTAAGTTGTAAAGATCTGTCCTAACTCATTTAGACTTGCTTTTAAATAATGAAATCTAATCTCATTTCTGCTATAATTGTTTGTAAATTTAACTTTGTATTTGGATTCTATAAATATGAACCGAATTTCAATTGAATTTTGTACAATTAAATTGAATTGTATTTCGAATTCCGTTGCATTCATTGCGTTGCTCTATTTTCTTTGCCTCAACTGTTGTATAAGAAGGCAACAAACTTGTCGTTGTTTTTTTTATTTTACTTAAGTTTTTTTTTTATTTTTATGTAGCTTTTTTGTTTGCATTTTTGCGCACTATTTTGCTGCCGTTTTAAGTTGGTTTGTACTACGCTCCCGATCTGCCAGTGTATGTATATAGCTTGCTATATCTTATCGCGCTAAAAACACAAAAGTGAGTGTGTGAGTGTGTGTGTGCGGTTAGTTCAACAATGTGCCATACAGTCAGTATACATAATTATTTTCATTTTTTATGTAATCAACAAACAGCACAAACGCCTCAGCCTCTCCTCACAGCAATTCGTCTTCTATGCTGAGGTTTTGCTTTCAGGAACAAAAAAAAAATAAAAAGCACAACACACGCGCCTTATAGTTATGGTCAAGAGAATAGGAGTTGGAAAATTGTATAAAAAAAAAATGCAGATTTACTGAGATTTTAGGTAAGATCCTTATAATTATAGTCAACAAAATAGGAGTTGGATATTTGTATAAAAAATAATTAAGAATTATGATATAGAATAGAATAAATTATACAGTTGGAATATTGAATAAAAATAATGCAGAATTACTGAGATTTTAGGTATAACCAATTACATGATTACACTTCCAGCTCAAGTAGAATAATAATTTAAGTTTTTCTTCAATTAATATAAAAAATATTAATTTCTATCTCCATTTCCATATTATATATGGCATTAAAGGCTTGTTCGGAGCTGGTAATATATAAACATAATATTTAACATATAACATAACATAAAGAGTACCCAGTACAAAGTCTATTCTAACTCTAAAACATTTAAAAAACTTCATAAAATTGCTTTAATTACTATTATTTAAAAGCAACTTAATGTAAATGGACATAAAGTCACAGTCAAAAACAAAATAAACCTGCTCTAAATTATGACAATTCGAATTAAAGTTTTTCATAAATTAATAAAATTATCAAAGATATTAAAAGTTAAAGTTTTTAATAATTTATGATCTTATCGTAGATATTATTATACTTGTGTAAATATTTGCATTATTTCCATTACCTAAATATTTAAGCAATTGTTTTCATAGGTTTTCCTTCCATTTAAATCACTTTTCCACTATTATTTAAGCTATTGACTATTGTTAACATTTTTTATTGAGTAAATTGAAAAAAAAAAAAAAAAAAATCCAAGTCTATTAAAGAGAGTGTGAGGGGGAAAGGGAGAGAGTGAGAGAGCAAGAACATTGGCAAGTTTTGGCAGCACGAGTTTCCGTTTGAATTTTCTGTTGTGCGTCGTCGTCTTGCGTGCCGACACAACACCCACCTACACACACATCTGGGTGTGTGTATATGTACATACATATATTCATCAGGGTAAAAAAAACTACCAACTAAGGCAAAGAAAACGTCGGAAATGTTACGGCCGATATTCAATTAGTTTTTAATCCAGCCCAGCGTCAAGGAATTTCAATTTTCAATTGGTTTTTAAGTCGGAAATTGCCACCACACGCACACACGCAACCAAAAATAAATACAACAAAAAAAAAAATTAAAAAAACAATAAGAACAAACAATAAACCATACACACACACGCATTCGCATCGGAGGAGCTTTTTAAGTTTCAACTATTTATTCGATCGATTTTAACGCACAATGCATAAAGCTTTGCCGATAATTGCATAATGCTAATGGAGATTCAACTACAAGTTGGTATATTTAAAAGAATATTCAAAGCTAAGATATTGAGTTATAATATAAAATATATATAGGGTTTTGATTCAACTTTAATTAGATATTATTTATAATCATAGAAGACTCTAGAATTATGTTTTAAAGAGCTAAAATCTGAAGAGTTAGGATACCCTGAGTTAGGATCTCTAAAACTAGAATCTTTTCAGTTCAGGATCTCCAGACTTATAGGATACCTAATTTGAATGTCCAGAGTTAGGATCTCCAGACATATAGAGAGTTAGGATATCCAGAGTTAGGATCTCTAAAAGTTAGGATTTCAAGAGTTGTGATCACCAGAGTTAGGATCCTTAGAGTTAGGATCCTTAGAGTTAGGATCCTTAGAGTTAGGATCCTCAGAGTTAGGATCCTTAGAGTTAGGATCCTTAGAGTTAGGATCCTTAGAATTAGGATCCTTAGAGTTAGGATCTCTAAAACTAGAATCTCCCAAGTTTTGATCTCTAGAGTTATGGGTTACCTAGAGTAAGGATCTTAAGAGCTATGATTATCTAAGTTAGGATCCCCAGAATTCTAATTTCGAGAGTTAGGATCTGCAGAGTCAGGATAACCAGAGTTACAATCTCTTATACTATAACCTCCCAAGTTAAGATCCCCAAAGTTAGACTTTCTATAGTTAATATTTATGATTTCCAACTAAAGCTAAATATTGGACAACAAATCCAATGCTTAAATCAATCATTATATCTCCAATGTTAAGATCTCACGTGATCCTAAATCTCCATGGCTTTGATTTCGATCTTTGGATGATACAATAAAAATTCAGAACTATGCAAGACGGTTACCTTTCGAGAAATATACACAAAAAAAATTATACAAATAAGAAAAGAAAAAAAAGTAAGCCAGGCAATAGCGAGGTCGCTTTATCAAGACACGACGCTATATATGACGTGTATATGTATATATATATGCTATATAGCACCACTAACAACAACAAATTAGCGTCTCGGTCAGATAGAGAAAGAGAGCGAGCGAGAGGGTAGATGATTGGGGGATAGAGATCGCTATATATGGGGGGGAAGGAAAAAGAGAGCAAAGCAGAGCAGAGCAGAGAGCACTATTTAGCAGCAGGGAGAGCAACAACAAATCACACGATCGTAAACTTACACATGAATTATGCACGAGAAATAAGAAAAAATAAAATAAAACGACGCCAAAATAAAGCAAGTGAAGAGCAACTCAAATGGTATTAACTTAGGGATACCCTTTAGATATATGTATAATATAAAATAATTATAATTTATATACCTAAATAGGTCTTGGAAAAATTCTCGTTTACTTTTCAAGCTAATTAACTAAGAGACTAAGCCGAAAATCGCCTGAATAATGCAAAATTACAGGGTATTATATCAACTAAAAGGCGCTGTCAATATTCTGCGCCTCTCTTTTTCTCTCCTTCTGCTCAAAATCCAATGTATTTTCTTGCTGACGCAGCGACGGCGACGCATTCTCCTTCTACCTCTCCCTTTCACTCCCCGCCAAGTGTGTGTGTGGTGTGTGTGTTGTGTGTGTGCTTGTGAGGGTAACAGGCCAACGCGAAACAGAGAAAAAGCGACAGCAAACTACAGTGAAACACCTAAACACAAGGATTAAGAACTTTTTAAAATAATTTCGAAAACAAAGTATTAATTTGAATCTCAAATATGGAATAATTTTCAAAATATATTTCCCAGTGATTGTGTTATCTATTTACTTAGGTTAATGTAATATATTTTAAAATATATATAAAATATATAATAAATAATATAATTTATAATAGAGAATTTTTGAATGCAATACATTTTCAGAATTTTATACAAAGTTCTAGTTATAATATTTTGCCCATCAAGAAGTTCTACTGCAGTCTTAAAAAATTATATGTAATACACACAAAATATAGCTTTTAAAATACCATTTTAAAAACATAAATTAAATAGCTTTTTAATTTAAAATTAAATGTATTTTAAAGAACTTTGTAGGGTAACTTCCTGAAGATCCCTATTTTCCTCAATAAATACTCTTTAATTTCTACTCTAAGATGGCTGAATTTTAAAGCAATAACATTTAATTTTTTATTAAAGAGGGTTCAGAAAAAGGGTGTCAAAATATTCAACATTTTTGGGGAATTCGCATCAGAATCTCTTTGGTGGGGAAAATAACCCAGATTTTGATTGATACGCGTGTGTGGTGAGCTTATATAAAATGAGCCAACAGGTGGCGACGCTTTCAATTTCCAAATGATTGATTACGCGCCACTCTCAATGAGGTCTTATGTTCCTAAATTTCTGGACATTAGTGTTGGGCATAATATAACAATAAATATAATTTAATTAATTTAAAATAAAGTGTTCAAATCAAACTATTAATTTACATTTTAATAAAGACATTAACTAGATGTAATATAATCATTTTATGGTACCAATAGATTACTAATACACATATATATGAATAAAATAAATAAAACTATAAGAAAGCATAGAATTGGATTTTAACTAAATATGTAAGCAATTAAATTGGAAATTTTCTAACATTGATTTTTGATTAAAACTTCCTTTTCTTTCATTTTACAAATATGTACAAACATATGTATATATATTTAAAATATCTTTTTTTATGCGGGTGGATCTCGCCTTCCTTTTAACTATTTTCAGTTCCGCTAAACCGCCCCTATCCTTTTCCTTTATCTATAGGGATCATTGATAAATTTCGTTATCGCTTTTGCTTTTCGCCTTTTTCCCAAATTGTCCCGTTTTTCATTAACATTTTACAGGGCAAAGCGGGGGGGCGTACAAGAAAGAAGTGAAAAATAACAGAAGCAACAGAAGCAAAAACAATAATAACAACAACAACAAGGCGGGGGACCCGCACACACACACACACACTCGCACTCAAGCACGCACATTTTGGTGACAAATTTGTACACAAACACAGTGACAGGCCGCAGCACTAAAAATATTTCTTCGATTTCAAGCAAAACTGTTTTTTGTGTGTTCTTTTTGTCTGTTTCTTTTGTTTTTTAATACCACGTTGTTTTTGCGTAGCTTTTTTCGGTGATTTCCTCTTTTTTTCGCCGTGTTTGTTTGAGTTTTTCTTGTTGCTGCTTTCCCTCCGGTTATTTATTTTGCTTTGCACTCACTGCTGTGTTGTTGTTGTTGCTGCTGCTACTCTCTCTCTCCCGCCCGCTCTCATTTCTCTGTTATTCTCTCTTCGTGCGGCGTTGTGGGCGGCACTTGCAAATATATATTTTTTTCGCCAATTTGCGCTTTTCGGCTTTTGTTTTTCCTTTTTTCCTTCCTTCTTGTTATACTCCTTATTAGTTTTTTTTTAATTATGACACTAATCGCACAGTTGACAAAAAAAAGATGGCTGTATTAATATGCAAGGCATACGTACTCAATTTTGGGGCATCAATTGGCTGCTTTGCTTTGATTTTCTTTTCTTTTCTTGCAGCTTTTAAATGTTCACTCCGTAGATGTTCACTCGTATTTGTTGTATTTGTTCGATTGTTTTTTCTCGTTAGCTGATACTATTTAACTTCACAGTCACTTTGGATGAGTTTTTCGCTTGTCCGCTGCGCTGAAAGGCACAATGCAAAATGAAATGCGGGAATGCGAGAATGCCAACGAGACGGGCAGCGCAGCGCGCAGTCTGCGGAGGCGGCGTCGCAGTCGCAGTCGCCGCAACGAAACAAACAAAAAGCAAATGCAAAGACAATTGGAGATCGCAGATCGTTTTTTACACGTTTTCCAACGATTTTCGAGTTAATTCATTGCCAGTTGCCAAACAAAAACCATATTGTAACATATAAAAATTAACTTGATCAACTAATTGAATTGGATTTTGATTTGTTTTCGATACAAAAAACCCACACACACGGCAGGAAAAAACACATGGCAGCTCTGCCGCTCTCTCTCGCTCTCTCTCTCTCTCTCTCACTGACTTTGCTGAGAGCTCGGGAGAGCGTAACGTAAGCGCGTGGCAAACACATGGTTTTTGTTTTTGCCAAAACGTAGATGTAGTAGAAGAGGAAGAAGCAGATGACGAAGCAGCTAGCGCTTACAGTTACCTCGCCTCATTGCGTTGTTGTTCTTTCGACCATTGGCACAGTGGCACGAAGTGTGGAAAATACGTAATGTTAACTATTAATAAATTGATTTTCTTAATGGCACTTTAAATGGATTTTTATTGTTATTACCCTATATTTATTATGAAGTTAGGTGTTGTAAATCGCAATTTCAATAAGAGTTTTAAGTTTTAAAAGTTTTTAAATAAATAAAAACGGCGAAAATAACTTAAAAGTTTAAATAAGACTTACCCTAAGCCGGCAACTAGTTAATTATCCAACTTTCTTAGGTAATCAGGGGAAGAGTGTTTACATTTTCGACCACTGTGCAGTAGCGTTTATTATCGGCAAAAGGTATTCATCGCATTTACATAAATGCTACACACAGTCCACTGTATCGCCAGCGCGTCTGTGTGGGTGAACATGTGTCACACGCAGCGGCGAAAAAGTCAATCACACTAATACACACGCGACCGCAGCGTCGCGTTTCGCTTCTATGCCTCTCTCGCTCTCGCTCTTGCTCTCGGCTGTTTTTGTTATTATTATTGTTATTGTTTTTGTTTTTATTGGTACCGCAACACCCGCGCGCAAATAACAAAACACAAGCACGCTACAATGTATCGGCATTTAGGGAGCGGGAGCGGGAGCGCGAGCACTAACGTGATCCAGAGAGTTTCCGTTATTGTTTTTACGCTGCGTGCGTGCATATTTGTATTTGCCTTGGTATTGGTAGCGCTCTAGATTTGGTTACTCTTTCATTTATTTATTTTTTTGTTGGTCTATTAATGAAACTAAATTGTAATGCGAACGTGTTAATTAGACAGAAAGAGAGAGAGAGAGAGATAGAGAGACCAAGCAAACAAAAGTAACGAAAATCAACGAAGAGCTGGCAAAGCGCAGCGAAAAGAAAGTCACAAAGAATAAGTAACAAGGAAAAAAAAAAATGGAAGCAAGTTCTTATCGTTTTTGTCACTCAATTATACGAATTTTATTTTATGACACACACGCGGACAACAGAGAGAGAGAGAGAGAGAGCGAGAGAGACAGCGGGAGCGCTCACGTAATTACTTGAAAATCTCCAATAGGAATTGTTTGTTCACTTTTCCGGCCGGTTTTTCGCTCCAACAAACCGATTTTCCAACAACGTGGCTTTGGCCAAAAATACGCAACAGAGACGTAGAAAGAGCGAGAGAGAGGGAGATGGAGTGAGAGCGGCTTTTTAATGAACGAAAAACGTGTGGACGCAACTGTGCGTGTGTTAGAAAATAGAACACTCACACACACACTTACGCAGTGCCGAAGCTCGTGTGGAAGCAGCAGAAAAACTAACAAACAAAAATTATGTGGGACAAACGGCGTATAAACAAACTGCAGGCGGTCGCTCTCTCGCCGAAGAGAGAGGCGCGGAGAGCGAGAGAGTTGGGGAGCAAGTAAGAGAGTCGGGCCCCAATTGTTTACACACAAAACTTTTCGACGCGACGCCACTGGGTTGTCAACGCTCTCTTCGCCTCGCCACCCCCCCTCTCTTTACCCATCCTCTCTTTGCTGTTTTGCCATGCGGTTATCGCTGTCAAACAGTGGAACCTCTTTGCAGGGCATACACATAAAAAATATACAAGAAATAATTTAATTAAACGTATTCCAATTTGTTTTTACCTATATTTGCCTTGTTTGTGTTTACTTGGAGATTTTCGTTTAAATGAAGCCACACTGTAGTTGCTGTTGTTGCCTGATCCACATACATAAATACATACGCTCTCACATAAATAGTTATACAACTCGCTCTGGGGGCCAAATACAAGTACAAATATCAAATACCAACGAGCAAGTGAAATTGCAGTGCAAAGGAATTTCGAAAAACCAGTTAGAACCATGGCAACGCCAAAAGGGGGGTCCCCATTACTCCACCGCCTCTCTTCGCGCCTCTTCTTGCCAACATCTGATTCCAGACGCTCCCCCCCCCGCTTTCCTTCCCAAAAACCACGCTCAAAACGGCGAAAAACCAAAAACAGTTAAACAGGTGCAAAAAAGCATAACAACGTCGAAGTTCGAAGAGAAGTGCCGATAACAATTAAAGAGAGCCGTAAGAGAACAATGAAAGCTTAAGCAGGGCTGAGATAGAAGTGGTAAGAGCGGTGGGAGGGCATAAAAGAGAGGGCATCAGTGTGGCCGAACAATAACACGTGATACAAAACTAAAGTCTGTGTGACACAGACCGAACTTGAGATTATCACTTAATTTAAATTAAAATGAAATTCCAAAAAATGTGGCTTGAATAAATTAAATTTTTGGTGGCAAAAGCAAATGTTTACCATTTAATTTCCTATGTTTTTAATATTTAAAATTAAAATATGTGATGTTAATTTCTTGCATTGCACACCAGGAAACGAATTTAATTTGTACTGATAAGTGAATAAAAAATAAATTGAAATATTGAAATTAGTAATTCAATTCAGAGGGTATCTTATGGGTCGAGAAACGATTCCTCGGGGAATCTAGGATTCCAATTTCATGTGCAGATAACAAAAGAACGAAGGTAAACTTTGACGTCATTATGTCGACGACAGCGACAAATGTGGAGATCAACAGATCAGTCACTCAAGAACCCAAAACTGAGGAGTAAGAATAAAATAAAACAAAGAGATCGTTTCGAAAAGGCATTTTCCACGCACACTCGCACACACACACACACACGACAGGTATCTTTAGCTGTGTTGGGGTGTGTGTGTTTGTACAATCATGTGATACCAAAATAAAGAAAAATGTGAAAATCAAATAGCAGCGACAGCGGCCAGGGCACTAAACACAGTCACAAGCAAAAGTGGAGCAATAAAGCAAACAAGCCCGACAAATTTTCTGTTGCCATGTACCCTTAGACCACAACACTACCAAGCACCACCACCTACTTCCCTTTCCCTTTCCCCTGCCCCTGCCCCATCCCATTCCCATTCGCGCATCCCATATACCCCATTCCATTCCCCATGCCGCGGCCACTGATTCCCCACCACTTACCGCACTCACTCTCTCTCTCTCGCTCCCTCTCTCTCTCTCTCGCTCTCCATCACCATCCATTTTCGTAGTTTAACGCGGCGATCAGCCACGAAAATATGCAAATGCAAATGCAATTAAGACACGCACAATATATAACAATAGGTTCAAAAATAGTATTAAATATGGATAAAAAAAATCCTATTAATCTAAAAAAATATATATCATAAAATCTAATATTTTTTAGTAATATATATATTTGATTTAATCGCCTCAATATCGATCGTATTAAATTTCAATGAACAGAGAACAAAACGATCATCAAATACGGCGCAGCTGAGAGGAAAATAAGTTAAAGATACAGAAAAGCGAAAATCTGAAGGCATTAACAAACACACATTTTTAGCAGCACGAGGCGGGGAGGAGGGGGAGGAGGGGGGGGGGGCTATAGCCCGAAAAAGTTGTTGATGGGACGCCAACGAGATAGCTGCCACAGTGGGGCCGAGATGCTTATCATAGGAATTAAAATGAATACAATTAAGTTACAGCAAGACAAGCATATGCATGTAAGATTAAGATACATATGTATCTATAAATCGATCATTATGCATTCGTAGAAACACTATTCTGTATGCACATTCGTAATTGTTTTTATATCTCTCTTCTATTTGCATTTTCATACTCATTTTCATTTTCGTTTCACTGTGCGTTCTGCTTCTTGCTCTTATCTTTGCTTTTGCCTTATTGTCTAGGTGAGGTCGTCGCCAAAGGCAAGAGGAGCAGGGGGGGGAGGAGTGGGGGCACCAGCAAGAGAGAGAGAGCGAGAGCGAGAGAGAGAGTGGAATTGGGGGGCGGGCGGTGTGCGATTCATTTAACATTTGGCCATGTTTAATTTATAAAGACGCTCTCTTTCTCATTAATTGCTTAAATATAGGCATAAAATTGCATACCTGTCAATGAGCACACACCCTTTCCACACTTTATTTATTAATCACTTATTTTTTGTTTATTTTCCTTGGCATGTTTCTTATTAGTTTTTGTTTTGTTTTTCTTGGTGTGTTGGATTTTCATTTTTCCTCTGCTTCATTTCGTTACGTTTTCGTTTGTTTGTGTTCTTTTGTTGCCGCTGTTATTGTTGTTGTTGTTGTTGTTGCTGTTGTTGCTCTTGATAAATGTCAAACAAATGACGACGCCGCTCTCTCCCTCTGCTCTCGCACGCTCGCTCTCTGTCGCTGTTGCTATCTCGCTCGCTCTCCCACTTAGGCTCGCCTTGTCAACAGACGCAAAACGATCGTTTTGTTTTTGATTTTGCGTCGCATAGCGTCTTCTCTTTCTATTTCTTTCCATCTATTCTCATGCTTCTTTTTATTTTCCTGAACCCTCATTATTGAATATTTTATTGTAACTCGTTTTGTTTTTTACAATAATGCGCAGTTTAGAAACAATAATAAGAAGAGATTATGAGGTAAACAGTTCTTAATTCGCAAAAAAACGTAGCATACTTTTTCGGGACCCCAAGTAAAGTCTTGATTGTGATTAAAAAACACGTTATTAGGTAATCGAAGTGATAAAGCGTAGTACACAAAAATCTATAAAATCAGAAGAAAAACAAAACTATTCGATTTTATTGCTTTAAAATATTGCCTTTTGCTTTTGTATTTGTTTATTCTCAGCGTGCTGCCACAATTAGCGTATTTCGCATGCGTAGAGAGGCAGAGAATAAAAAACACACACACACACACATGCACACACAAGTGTAACGAACGCTATCTGGAAAATTTTCTCATAAATATGTATGAGTAAATAAAGCGTGGCTCTTATTATTATCTGAAGCATAAATTATAACAAAAAAATTATGTATATATACAAAATTCAGAGAAAACGATGTCGGAAAAATACATACGAAAAATAAGAAAAAAGGAGAGGGGAAAAAACGAAGAAGAACAAACAACAAATTGGTAACAAAAAGCACTCACAATCACATGATAATTTGCCGAAGGCCGAACGCCAAATATCGCTCGATGCCAAATGCAAGACTTTTGTTAATCCGATTTAATTTGTTTACTTAGTTTCGACTTTCGATTGACTGTTAATTGCCTTGAGCAACAAACAAGGCAAGGCGCATATTTTAAATTTTTGAAAAATGCCCGCTCAACAGCAGTGCTGCCTATTACAGAAAAGTGCTAAAAGGTGTAGAAATAGGGTTTGTTGGGGCAGCACTGTATATAAATGTAAATGTTTGTGTAACTTGAGCACAAGAGGGCGTCGGTTGTAACAGTTAAACGACCGTTGCAACTTTACAGAGACACAGATGGCGCCAGGGGTTGACCTTTTCAAATGAATTTTAAATTAAAAGTAATAATCATTAAATAAGATATTGCATTAATTTAAATTAAAAACAATTAATATATATGATTTATAGGGTTGGAAATGACTCCTTCACTTACTTTTAAGCTTCTGACTGAAGGTCCATTACCATTTTTATACCGATATTAACAATATTTTTATATGAAATTTTTCGACAAATCAAAATTTAAAAATCTCATAACTCAGCCAAAAACGCATTAATTTCAATTCGGAAAGCGGCAGTATGTTAATTTTTAGCAGGTTAACAAAACTGCATACTCAGTTTAAAATGTGCATTTTTGGCCGATTTTTGCAAATTTTCATGATGTAACCCCTTATAAAATTTTGAAAATTTTGAAAAAATTAAATTTTTGTCGGATATAGCTAAATCAATTCCTCTGTTGATGCTAATCAAGAATATATATGATTTATAGGGTCGGAAATGACTCCTTTATTTAGTTTTAAGCTTCTGACTGAAATTATATTACCCTTGGCTATTAAAATAAATATAAAGCAATACAAATGAACTATTCCTAACTAGATTATTTTATATATAATATTTATTATTATTATTATTTTTTGAGATATATAGTATCTGTATTTGCTTTCTCAAAATATATGTACATATGTAGACTTAAACTATGGTTTATTTTGTACAAAGTAATTCCTTTGTTTTAAATAAGTAGAAATAATAATTAGGTTACATATTCTTAAAATCCCCTTTTGCTGTTTTCCTCTTCTGTTTCTTTTCTTCCACGTAACCGAAAATAAAAAATATATAAAGGGGAATCTATCAATTAGGGAAAAAGCTTTAAGCTGTCAACACGCCCAAGTACTTGGCGTTTTCGTTTTAAAACATGGAACTCCTTCCTCCAATTTCTTCCCTTTTGGGATAAGCCACTGCTGCCTGCATTCATTGTTTGCCTAAAAAATACCCAACCCACCGATCCAACTTTGAGGGGCTTTTCCTTTGGGTTTCCATTTCCAGCTTCCCTTCTACTCCTTCCTCTCCATTTACTTCATTTTTTTTGCCGGTTGCCTGTTGCCAGTTAGCTCGTCTTGTCATTGGTAAAATGCTGGCAAGTTGAGCGGGCTTATATTGTTGGGGAATCCCCCCTTCGTCGTCTTGAGAGTGGAAACCGCTGCCAATTGTCGACTGTTGCATGAATTATGAGCGTCTGCCAAGATTTATGAATTCGAGAGGATAACAAAAGTATCCTCCTCCTTGTCCTTGTCCTCCTGCCCATCCTTTTTGCCTCGCAGCGGAAAAAGGCAAAAATCTGTCAGCTGTTAAGTTGAGTTATAAATTTCCTGCAATTAGCTTGAATTTCAATTTTCTCTCTCTCTATCTCTCAGCATTTGCTACTTACTTTGATTACACAATGATGACGATGACAATAACGATGATAATGATGATGAGTAGCTCCTCCTTCCCCGTTTTGCCAATCGACATCTCTTGTTGTGACTGTACACCGCGGTTTTCTTTTTTTTTTTTCTGCGCTTTTTTATCGAAAGTCTCCTCTGCAGTTTTTCCACCTCAATGTGCAGAAATTTGCAAACTCATGGAAATCCATACGTTTGATAAACAATACACCCACACACACACACGCACACACAGGACAAGCAACAAGAAGTGACATGCACAAAAAAAAGGCAAGTAAGAAAGCTATAGAGTACAGACTGTACTTTACCTGGTAGCATAAGGTATGTTTTCTACTGCAGTTTATAAGGTAAAAAAATAATATATCATATATTTTAGGTATGGGAAAATATTAATAATATCAAAAACAATGTCAGAAAAATATTATTTAATTTAATTTGTTTAGGAAAATATTAAAATAATAAAATTATATGATATATGCACATATCTGAAAGATTAAAATCTTGATTAATCGCTTCAACTATCTATCAAAATGTGAATTTTTACTGAATAAGAACTATTTAATCTTCTTCACAAAATCACTGCCTGATTAATATTATATAAACCCAATAGAATCTGTAATATATGTACAAGTACAGTTGGAACATCTACCACATGCAACTCTGTCAGAAACGGATCCGGAAACGGAAGTCGCCATAGCCGTGCATGTGTTCATTAAGCAGCGAGTAGCAAACAAAATCAATGAATGGTGTAAAAATTAATATCCTGTGGGCCTCAAATGAAACAAAAAAAAAACACAAAAAAAAAGAAAATAAAACATAAAAAACAAGGCTCGAAGAGAAGGCAACAAAAATATGCAAAAGAATTGCGGAGGAGAATCGTTCTGTGCGCCCGGCAGCAGTTTTAATTTACACAAAGCGTAGTCAGGCGTGTAATGCGCTTCACAGGGGGGGAGGGGGAGGGGGCGGTTGTTCCTCTTTTTCTTTATTTTTTTTTTCAATGCTTCAACATTTAACAAATGCCTTGAGGCAGCCGCAGCAGCGAAAAAGATGGGCGGCAACGTCAACAGCGTCAAATGATTTATGAAATTACTTTTGTCGCTGCATACTTTCCGGGGGGCGCGAGGCAAAAGGAAACGGAAGTGAAGAACCAGTAAGAGAAGAAGAAGAAAAAAGGATAGCTAAAGACAAGCAGCCAAGAGAATGAGGAGGAGGAGCTTGCTGTGATGATGATGATGATGATGAAAGGTGTCAAGTGATAGGTGACCAAGCTTCACTTTTTCATCAAAGCAAAAAATCTTTGTCTCTCTCTCTCTTTAGTTTATTAATTTATTCAGAGACCAAAACAGATTGGGAATTATAAGAGCAGTCTGTATAGAGTCCTTTTAAGGTTTATTTTGAGGTGGAAGATTTTTTTTATGCAATTTTTTTATGTAATTAACTCAACAGATCATAATGGGAAAAAGCCAAATTATATATTAAAATTAAAAGTAAAAGCAAAATCAGTAAAGTATAAACTATATCCTCTAGATATTTATATTTTTTCTAGTTATTTTTAAGAAATCTTATAAATTACCTTGACTTTCTCTATCTATTGTTTTAAGAATATCAAAGCTCTGCTTAATATCTTTTGCCAAAAATAAAGAATTAAACTTAGCAGAGATTTTGTATGGCATTTTATTTATTTTTAGTTTTGTATTCTTTAATTTATATATTTTTTATTAGCTCTCTCCCTCCTCAATCAATTTGCGTGATGGAGGCCTCATCATTGCTGGAATACCGACTACTCTCGCCATCCGTTCGATACTTGATGGAGTCTATGATCTCCACATCGATGTCACAGTTTCCTTGACCACCGCCGGAAGTATCACCCTCACCATCAGCACCGCCAGGACCCACAGCCGTGTCACTGGATCCCCTGCCCATGGAGTCCTCATCACAGAGCTCCGGCACCGAAAGTGAAGCACCACTGGCCGAGGCCGAAACCGATTCGGATTTGGCAGACTCTGTATCCTGTTGCACCTGCTGAGCCTGATGATGGGCAGCAAATTGACTATAAAGTCGGGGCAGATGTTGGAGCATATAACTGGCACTGGATTTGGATAGATTAGCAGCAGCAGCAGCTGCAGCGGCGGCTGCCGAGAGATGATTGGCGGCCATCGTACTCGAAGCCGTTGCCGGTTGATTCTCCTTGGTCTCCCCAAGATCATAGTACTTGGCATAATGTTCGAATTTGCTGCCCAACACACTGACACTGGTGGGTGAGGAGTCACCTGCTCCTCCTGCTCCTGCTCCTCCTGCAGCTCCTGCTCCTCCTCCACTGGGATTGGCACACAAATTGATGGCATCACTTTGAGCAGCCTTGGGTATGGGCACAGTAAAGGCGGAACCATGACGCTGCTTGCTCAAGAGATTCCCACTCGAGAAGGTGGAGGAGGATGTGGCCCCCGCTGTGGAGGATGAGCACGAGGATGAACCCTCCTCGGCAAGGGCATTATTGCTGGCCGACAGCGGGGACACATTCTCCTTTTTGCGATCGTAGATATGCCCGGAGACTCTCAGATCGATGAAGAAATGCAATGGATCGATGCCATAGGGTGCGTACAGGGGTGGATACCACACGGGGGGCGGTGGAGGCAGGACCAAATCCTGCGGTGGCAATGAAGCCGCCGGTGGTGTATTATCCTGCAGGGCAGAGTCCACAGCACCACCAAGTCCCAAGCCCAATCCCAGTCCAGAGGATGTGGTTTTGGGTGGCGGCGGCAACGCGGGCTTCGTCTCCAGCTTGGCATAGCCATAGGGAGTGGGTGTGGCGGCACTGGGAGTGGTGGCCATCACCTTGTTGGTCAGCTCTAGAGGCTTCTCCGGCTGCAGTTGCTGCTGCTGTTGCTGTTGCTGCTGTTGCTGCTGCTGCTGTTGCTTCTCCTCTGCCTCACGTCGCTCGCGCAGCTGCTCGTAGTAGGGACGATGTGACCAGGATCGCTTCCTGGGACGCCTCACCAAGGAGGTTTGATGGTGTTGCTGCTGCTGCTGTTGCTGCTGCTGATGTTGCTGCTGCTGCTGCTGCTGTGCCTGCTGCTGTTGCAGCTGCAACACGCGTGCTGTCTCATTGTTTCTTGCCTGAACCAGGGAGCGCAACATGTCGCTGAAGAAGAAGTTGTTGGGTCCCACGGGAGCGGAGTAAAGATATGGCGGAGTGGCGGCCATTAGACGACTCACATAATCCTGGTTGCGCAACTCATGGATGTTGCTCTTGCCACGTTGCTGCTGCTGCTGTTGCTGTTGCTGCTGCTGCTGTGGTGTCTGTTGTGGATCTGCTGCAGCTGCTGTGGTGGCTCCTGCTGCTGCTCCTGTTCCCGCTCCTCCTCCTCCTCCTGCGGCTGTGGGCGTTGTGGGTGCCGTGGGCGTGGCACTGCCTCCAGTGCCTGTTCCAGCTGGCATTCCTGTTGCGCTGCTCGAGGAGAGGCTGTCCTTCATCCTTCCTGCAAGAGATGAGCTGGGAAGAGGGAGAGAAGGAATCTGCTGGAGTCACTCTTGAGAATTTATTTGTATAGGAAGGAAATCTTACTTAAGTATATTTGCATTGTCTCCTGGACAAGAGACCCCACCTTTTTCATGTCCCTACCACAACCGCCCTTGAGGGACAATTAAATGTGAATTTTGTGCTTTTCTGTCTTGGTTTTTGTCTTGTGGGTTTTCTTTGGGTGGCCTCCTTACTTGGAGTTTGGGTGTGGGCTCAAACAAGGAGCTTAAAAGTGTTTTTAAAGTGGAATTGTTGGGTTATTCCAAGGAATAAAGGAGTAATTTCCGACTCTATAAAACTATAAAATTACCCATGACTAAGCTCACTGAAAAATCCTTAAATTATAATCCATAGCACTCATTTCACTCAAACCATTTTCCCACACACCTGATGGCTCTGCCTAAGCTGCCTTTGTTTTGTGTGACTTTATTAAGCCAACATCTGTGGCTGAAACACCTTCCTTCTGCCCATTCCCAACTGACAGTTGGACAATTTGCATAGGAAAACAGGAAAGGCATCCGGCATCCGGCATCCTCGCTGCCGTCAAGCTGTTAATAAGCTTACACACATCGCGCTAAAATTCCAGTAAATTAAATGTTTCAACAGAAGGGGAAGTCCCCCTTCGGGCGAAGCATCGCAGGACAAACTCAATTGTTGTGTGTCGCCAAACTCAGCTCAGGCACTTGTGCTCCTGCTCCTGCTCCTGCCTCGTATCCTTGTATCCTGTGCCTGTCAATTCTAACCAGGAATCAGGGGGATCCACCCATTGCATCTCTCTCTCTCCCCCTCTCCCCAGACAGTTGTTGCTCTTTCATTTTCGCATTTAAAAAAGTTTTTTAACAAGCCACAGCCGTCGCCTGTTACACTTGCTGGAATGGGAAATGCCCTGTATGAAATATGGGAAGTATAGGGTATGCTCGAATGTGAGAGAGATAACAAGGGTACTTGTTACGAAAAAAATAAGAAAAATAAAGATAGGAAAGAGGAAATTAACTTTTATAGAGTTCACTAGTTTGCTAATTTTAATTTCTTCTTGGATATCACTTCTAGGCAAAGGAGTTTCGGAAACTTGTCACTAAGATCAGAAGAAATTCCTGCTTAGTTGGGAAAAATCTAGGGAAAACTTTGAATTTAGTATTATTTACTACAATTTTATACATATTTAGCTACAATTTTCATTACAAAAATCCTTAAAAAAATGTTGTATTATTATTTAAATTTAAGTAAAGAAATCTTTGAAAACAAACTAAGAAAGAAAGGAAACATTAGGGAAGTCCAAATGTATATATCTTTGCAGTTTGTAATTGAATTAAAGGATCGATTTGGAAATCTATATTTCTAGATATTTCTATATGATAATTTATTAGGAAAATCAAAATTTAAAAATCTCATAACTAAGCCAAAAACGTATTAATTTCAATTCGGAAAGCGGCCGAATGCTAATTTTTAGCAGGTTAACAAAACTGCATACTCCATTTAAAATGTGAATTTTTGGCCAATTTTTGCAAATTTTCCTGATGTAACCCCTTTCCTTTTTTTTTAAAAATGGGAAATTTCGGAGAAAAATTTTTTTCGGCCGGAGATGGCTTAAAAGATTCGCCTGTAGATGCTGATCAAGAATATATATGATTTATAGGGTCGGAAATGACTCCTTCACTTTCTTTTAAGCTTCTGACTGAAGGTCCATTACCATTTTTATACCGATATTAACAATATTTTTATATGAAATTTTTCGACAAATCAAAATTTAAAAATCTCATAACTAGGCCAAAAATGCATTAATTTCAATTCGGAAAGCGGCAGTATGTGAATTTTTAGCAGGTTAACAAAACTGCATACTCCATTTAAAATGTGAATTTTTGGCCGAGTTTTTCAAATTTTCATGATGTAACCCCTTATAAAATTTTAAAAATTTTGAAAAAATTAAATTTTTCTCGGACAAAGCTAGAAAGATTTCCCTGTCAATGCTGATCAAGAATCTATATGATTTATAGGGTCGGAAATGATTTCTTCACAAAGTTTTAAGCTTCTGAATGAATTTCCTTCAAGGGTATAAGTACACCCGTGCGTATACGTAATTTTTTGGAAATAAAATGTATGCCACAAAAGGAGGCAAACTTTTGTCCACCAAAAATAAATAATAAATATTAAAATAATATTTAAAATATACCAAAGTCCTAAACAATTATATTTAATTTAATATAAAACCAAGGTACTCCCTTCTTTCATACCCAAAAACTCAAAAATACATTTTTCTCGTGGCATTAATTTGCGTTCTTTCCACTTTTTACCTCTCACACTCTTCATGCTGGATTTGTGGCATTTCGTTCGTATTTTTATTGTCTTTTCATTTCGTTGTAAAAATATATAAAAGTTTTCAACTGTCGCAAAAGGAATGTATGAGTGAAGGATGAAAAGGAGGAGGAGTCCTGTACCTCCGCATGGGAGATGATGGTGCTTTTGATTTGCATTTTTTGGCAGCCATGGATGTTATTCTGTTTTTGCGACAAAAGTTGAAATTAGATTATGCTAATTAAGGCTGAAAATTCCGTTGATTTCAACGCCCACTGATTGATGCCTGGACAGGAGGCGAAACGTAGCATTAATTGCCACTTTTTGAAGTGGAATGGGAATGATGATGATGATGATGAGGAGCAAATCGGGGTGGGTTTACCAGGGACATTTTAATATTCAATCAGCAGCTGTTGTTCAACTTTCCTTCTTTTTTTTAACTTTACTTTATTTTATTTCATATTTTTATGGCCCACGCCCAAGTTTTAGCGTAAAAGTTTCTGCCAGAGAAACTGAGATTAATGCGCCAAGTGCAGTCCGACTTTTGTTTGTCTTTCGTCTGGATAGGGATATATATATACATATATATATAAGCTGAAAACTAAGTTTTTGCATAATTCCACTTCCACTTCTCGCTTTCCAAACAGCGGCAATTAAAATGGGAATTCATTGAAAAACCCAGCCAAGGACGCGCCCAGCTGATTGAAGTCCCATCGTGATTGAAGCCACCCCCTTTTTGTTGTTTTTTATTTTTTGTTTTTTGAGCAGGGCAACCCTTGCTGGGCAACACACACTTAACTTGGGCACTTTTGGGTCTGGGCAACCTTATAACATAATTACAGCATATCAAACAACGATAAGTCTCTCTTTCCCCTTTGGAAATTGTTAAGCAACCCTCGTGGCACAACCACCAGGTGTGTGTGTGTGTTTGAGTGTGTGTGCCACCCCGAAAGGAGTCTGGGGTAAGAGTTCAGGTCTGGTTATGATGATCTCCTTGAGGTTGCAAGGATTTTGCGCCCAAAGTGGGGCTTATTATTTATTATTATTTAAATGTTTTAAGGATTTTAAAATATGAAGATTAATAATATTATGATGCTAATATAATATTATTAATTTTCATAATTTAAAGTCATAAAATCATTTAAAAAGGGAGTTTAAATTTTGTATTTTAATAAACAAAATAAAGAAACTGCTAATAAATAATACTTTTACTTGACGACAGCCTTAAGCTATTTGTTTAAAGAAAATTACAATAAATTTTGATACAGGTTATATAACTCTATTATTATTATTATTGATTTATTAATATTAAGAAGTCATTAAAACATTTCAAAAGTTATGTAAATGTTGTATTTTTAATGAATAAAGTTAATAAACTACTAATAAATAATACTTTTATTAGGGAACAAGCGTAGGGCATTTAATTTAATAAATTAACAATATTTTATTTATTATTTAATATTTATTTATTTATTAATCAAGGTTTGATAGTTACGTTATATCATAGTATATTTAATTTCCATATATTGCAATCATAAATAATTTTATTTATATTTTATGTAAAAAGTTCTTTAATAATACAAATTACATTTAGCCATCTGAATTGTATAAAAGACAACTTAAAAGCAGATCTTTTATGGTGGAAACAGATAAATTATACCCAAAAGCTGATAATATTTAATTAAAACAAATAAAGGAAATATAAAATCATAGTAAAATATTTATAGGAAAATTTTAAATATATTATTTCTTCCTAAAAACATAGGAAACCCGAGTTTTTTCTTTGTCAAAACAATGTGAGTCCTCTAAAATGCAGGTTCTTTATAGTAGAATTTTAAAAAATCATAGCCAAAAGATTATAATATTTAATTAAAATAAATATAAGATATATAAAATCGTTATAAAATATATATAACAAGATTTTAAATATATTAATTGTTCTTCTTCTTAATTAAAACAAATATAAGATATATAAAATTATTATAAAATATATATAACAAGATTTTAAATATATTAATTCTACTTCTTTTTAATTAAAACAAATATAAGATATATAAAATCATTATAAAATATATAAACCAAGATTTTAAATATATTAATTCTTCCTTAAAAGTTAGCATTTTTTATTTTTTCAAAACTGTCAATTAAAAAGGAACTAAATGAATTAGAGAGACAGTCGTAAATTGTTCTACTAATTGAGCTAGCATTTTGGTCCCTTATTTAACCCAATCCCCGCCTGCTTCCTGCTCCTGCTCCTGTTCCTCCGCCTGATCCTGCTTCCCCACTCCTGCTCCTGCTCCTTTTCATGGTCCTTTTCAGTGTCCTGGCCTGCATTTAACCCACTCCTGTCTGGCACACACACACGCAGAGAGATGAACTTGTTGGTTTGTTGGTGACATTGTCGTTGTGGTGTTAACGTTACTTCGTTTGACTGCGAATTAAAATAATGTGCCACTTGTGGCTCTTACTCTCTCTATCTCTCTCTCTCTATCTCTGTCTATCTGTCCATGTGTGTGTGTGTGTGTGACTGATACCTTCCCTGACCCTGCTCCTGCTCCTGCTCCTTGTTCCTGCTCCCTGCGCCTTTTTCCTGCTGCCTGCCCATGTGTGTCGCCCTTCGAAAATTTGACAAAATTTCATTTGCAACTTTGCCTGTTCGTCGCGGCAAATCGAATTTGATTTGAACCCTTTTTTTCTGGCAGGTTCTCTCTGTTTTTGGCAAAAAACAGGATAATGCCAAATGTTTGAGTCGAGAATGAAGTGCAACCCCTGAGTATAACAAATGGATTTGTTTCTACATGGAGTGAAGAAGAAGTACTGCCTGTCAGATCTAGTTTATTTTGAATTTGACAATTAATAATGTATTAAAACAGCTAAAAATTATTTTTTAGAAATATTAAACTGTCTTTAAATCATTATTTTTCCAGTTAACTTGAGGTTAAAGTCTGCGTCAGAGCGTATTTTGTATTCTATTCAAGTGAAGCATGTAAGTTGCTAGGTAATGATAAAAA